GAAGCCGGGGCGAATTTTGTTTCTTGAAACCTGTAAATGTTGCAATTCTGCAATGGAAGGTCGGATTCCATTGCAGGACCGCCATTATGATTTTTAACTTTTTGATTTGGAGCTCAAACTCAAAGGCCCCGGCTTCGAAGAAACACTCTGACTACTCCTTGCGGGGGACGCAGAGTGTTTTCTAGTATGTTGTCGTCCTGGATTAGACGGCGGTCTAGTGGGGGATTTGGAGGAGTGACAGACTCCGCCCTTCCCAGGATTTGTTTTAAGCTCCTTGGGTAGACTCGACCGGTGTAATAGTTAGCTTACATAATCAGTGCTTGTGACTGCTTATAACTGTGACCCAAAAGGGGTGAACAGCGTATATGCGGCAATGAAACAGCTTTGAGTGCTGTTTACATGTTCCCTTCAACTCTTTTGGTAGACTCTTCCAGCCTCACTGTAAGCTTACTTACTCAAAGCTTGCAACTGCTTATGGAGTGGTCCGATAGGGGTTAACAGGCTATTTCCGTGGCAATGAAACCGTTTTGAATGTTAGTCTTGTTAAGCGTACTGTTCATTGGTGATTATGAATGTCTTTTTACATAATTTAATTTATGAAGTTTACGTCTATGGGTGAATTTGACTGCGACATGTTTCAAAATTGGGAAGGGAAGCAGTGATAATTGGATTACTGCATCATTTTCAGTTTAGACGCTGCGATGGCAATTCTCCGTTTCGTCGTTGTTTTCCGTTTCTCCATGATTGGTTTATCATACTCCTACACCATCATACTCTTACTCACATGATCACACACACACACACATATATATACAAACATACATACAATTACACCTAAACACACATGCACACAAATACACACACAGGTAATCTCATAAATTTATAATGAGCATTATTCTATTAAATATATATACAAGTGTGTATCAATTAAGTACAAATACAATGGAAAAAATCACCAAACAAATAAACAAACAAACACGCACACAAATTTTAATGGGAGTCATTAATTTATGAAGCATAGATGTATGTGTGTGTATCATTAAAGCAAAAATAAGATGAAAACAAAAATACCAAACAAACAAACGAATAAACTAGTCTAACACGCACACATTTATGATGGGAGTCTTTTTATGAAGCATACATGTAGGCCGACGTGTGTGTATCAGTAGTGTAGAAATGGAGAGAGAAAAAGGAAAACAGAAACAGAAACAAAAACAACCAAACAAATAAACACACTGGCACATGAATTTCTACTTGGGATCCTGTCATATAACATAGATTTATACAATATCATGTAGCCTACATGTATTATATATATATACGTGTGTATCGTGTATCGGTTTAAAAAAGATCCCTGGAAGATCATTAAAAAACAAAACAATCAGAACCAAACATGTATACGGGGCTCTCATTTCACATTCAATAGGTTCCAAGTTCGAAACCTGACAGCGATGGAAACAACATTTTTTGCCTAAAATGTTCTCTTTTCACCTCCTTTCCTTTTCTCTAGACATGATATTCTGTCGTCTGCTTTTAGCTCCACTTTCTTGATCTAGCCCGGCCCTTCCGCGACCAGTGTTCCTGACTATTTCTACAAGTATTGCTTCTCCTTGCTCCTTCTTACTACTGTCTTTCAGCCACACATCCCTGAGTGACCGAACATTTGGCTTTCTCAAAAGGGCAAAAATTCTCGGAGGTCCCATGTTCAAGCTGCGCACTTTAAGCTCTCTTGGTGGATCAACGTTGGAGTGGTCACCAGTAAATAGCCCAATAGGAATCGTACAGGTATGTGAAATCCCATGAAATAGCAGTGGAAGAAAATTGACGTTGTTCTCAATTCAGACCCTTTGTTTGCAACCGTCTGTGACATCTGGGATGAAATGACTGATTGTCCAAAATTTAGCAGAGTCGATGCCCCATGGGGTGGTGCACTACACAAAACCAATAGCTCCTACGCAAAATAACAATGAGCACATTTAATGTTAAGTCCAAGTTTTGGGGGTATTTGTGATTGCTCTGTTTTCTATTTTGTTTGAAATTGAAACTATCAACATTAAATATTGTTTATTGCAGAGAAACAAATTTTCCATTCATTGGATATGCAATATATGTCCATTCTATCAATATTGATGGTCCCCAATACACAAGCGAAGACAACATTTCTGTGATTTTGCACAATTTTGCCAAGCCTGATTTTTTTATATCAATTTTGAGTGACCATATTCTTATCTTGAGCATCTCTTAACATAGATAAAATATTATTGTGTCAGATGATGCAGAATTTATTTAACTTTAAATTGGTATGCTGTATGAGTGGGTAGTGCAAGGCTTTAACCCGATTATTTGGGTGATTAAATTATCAAGTTTCTGTATAATACACGTGCGGGTGTGTTACACCCAGTTGTCGGTCAAAGGGATATAAATAGGTTGCTGTGAAAAGGGTTAATATGTAAAGGTTAGGTTACTCTCAGCGATAAATCGTATTATATTTTTAGTATAGTAGAACGGTCAGATTTATCAAACTCCATATTCTGTTTACACATTCCAATTTATAGTGTCTAATTCCCTTTAAATTGGGGGAAATTCCTTCTTCTTGCGCCAGAAGACTCTTTGCAACAATTTGCCTGCATTCTGTTTGTTGTTACTTAAACAAATGTAAAAAAAAGAGACCCACGAAGTTTTTAGCTGCAAAATTTTAAAGACACAAACTCTCCCTACGCCCTCTCTTAATAATTTGTTATTGTAGTCTCTAGACTTAATCGTCCACAGACATTCGAGGGATCTGTAGGCCTCTACATCTCAATAAAGAGAATCACAGTGTCTTTTGACCAAGTCACCAAACTGTACACTGTACAGCCACTGTGTGCCGGAGTAGATAGTACAGTGGAAACCTGATATAACAGGGATGGTGGGAGTAGAGAAAATGTCCTGTTATATCCGATCCCTGTTAAATCAGAAATGCAAGGAAAGTAAGCATTTGTGGACTAAGCCAACTGTACTTATTCATGGGTAGTTTCCTTTGCCACAAATACCCACGAACAGGGGTTTTGGCACCAACTTTCTCCTTGCCTCCTTAAACCACATCCGAAGAGCTTGGTCCACAACATCTGCATCGGGTAGTCTCATCTTCTTTCGAACCAGAGCGAACTTTGCATTGGAGTATGCTGCCACTATCTTCTCTCTATCCTTGATAATGGTGTGAACCGACCCTTGTGGAATGTCGAACTGACGACAAATCTCTGCCAGTGGACCTTGCTTTTTGTCGTCAACAGCCAGGATAATTTCTTATTTTTTGTCAATTGAAAGGCATTTTCTCTTGCGCTTGACATCGTTGGTGACAGTAGACACATTATGCGTGCGTGTTGCTAGGTTTCGGGCTAGATCGAGGTCTGCAGCACACCGCAGCCCTCTCTCGCGTCACACGCTGCGTGTGCTTGCAGTGGCATGGTTTGCGTGGGCTTGCTCCATCACTGCGTTACTCTCTCTCTCTCTCTCTACTTTTTACACATTGTAACGAGCCTTTGTCCCTTCTATAACTGGTTGGGCTGCGATGAGGCCCTGTTATTGCCGATAACTTTTAATAGAGACAAAGAGTAGGAAAAATCTGGGATTTAAAAAATCCCTGTTATTACCGGATCCCTGTTATATATGGTTTCCACTGTAGATATCTAGTGTGCAGTGTGTAGTTCTAGCAGCTTTGACGTCAAATGCACTTACAACGCACTGGGTGACCTTGATACATAACTTTAGATTGAAAATAGACAATTGAAAAACAAAGTTTGCTCAAGTTTTAAAATATAACATCAAATCAGGTTCCACGTGAGCCACTTTGCTTATTTTGATACGCCGATTTCGAAAATGAAATCAATTTTTAGCTGCAATGATTATTTTGAAAATTCTGTGCGCAAAATTTAATCCTGTGCTGGGAAACTTCAAAGGAATTTTGCGTCATAGCCTCCCATTTGTCACTTCACACTGAGGGGGGGTCTATTATAAGATCAGTTAAAAGTGACTGTTGTCTGTCCTCTTTATGATAGGAAAATACTACAAGATGCAATCTTGGTAGATAAAACTACCATTTGCGTTTGTAGCCATTTTTTGGTCTAAAAGTTGCCACAAAAAGTGGCAAAAGTTGCCCAAAAAGTTGCCTTTAATTTTCAAGCTTTCAACTCTCTGTGACGACGTAATATAGCAATATGTTGATAGAGGTAACAATCTAAAGCACCGTAATTTCTTGTGTTCTGTTTTAAGCATCCAGAATATCATTTGTAGTCACCCATAGGGTAAAAACGTGAAAAATAAAGATTTCCCAGTACAATGAAATCAAAATTAGAACAGCACGCATAAATAACCACAAATATGAAAAAATAAGGGCGCGTGTCCACCTATCCGAAGATTGGCTGTTTTAACCCTAAACGTGTTTAAATTCAAGAAAAAGTAGCTAGGCCTAGAGGATATTACATGTCAATTATGGAATCACACACAATTTGGGCGTGCCAGTGTCAGTATTCGGTTTTGGTGGAGACACGCTCTAACATAACACATTTATATTTTTAAAAGGGTAAGAACAGAATTAAATTAAATGACAATACGCTGTATAAACACACACACAAAAAAAAGAAAAACAAATCATCGGAACAATTTGTAGAAAAATTAACACACCAACAAGAGGGAAAAATAAAAGACAGCAATATAAAAATAGTATGTATATGTACTTATTATATTCTCCGCATGAATAGATACACAAATACATGGACATCTTAAAACTTATCAAAATACATGTCTAATATGTTATGAAGTAGCTTTGTTGTTTTGTCTTTTTTGAAAAATGTAAAAATCGCGGTCGTGATTCGCGGACCAAAAAATGCCAAAAATCGCGGCCACAACAAATGCAGATGCTAGATAAAATACTTCTTTTTGTGATCTTCTAAACCCAGTAAGAAAAACAGTTACCCGCTAGTAACTTTGTTAATTTGGACACGCTGGTTCCGAATGTGATATTATTTTTACGATTAGACATAGTTTTTAAATGTGGAAAAATCTTTTTGGCGTGCCGCTGGTGTATCGATATATCGATCAATACCACCATGACAAGCTATTCGCTTAGGGCAGTCGCTGTTCCCTGGACAAATTTTTTTCCTGTTTTTAAAAATAGAGTCGCTGTTCCGCGGTGCTCCGCTGATTTAACACTAGGAGTAAGGCATTATCACATTTATATACTTGTGTCAGGAACTGAAGATAACAGTTTGTGATGCAAAGTAGATGGTACAAAATAAGGTGAAAGGGGTACCGGTATTCAATCCATTGATGAGTAGAGGTACCAAACGTAAATTGACAAATTCCAGTTTGGATTTATTTAGGTCAGTAAGGACCAAATAAATTCACATTTATCAAATAAAAACAGTGAGTAATCAAATAAAAAGTGAGCATCCTTCACAAAAAAAGTCATATTTCATAGAAAGGTTGTGAACAGGACTCAAGAGGGAGCTACTCTTCCAATATCATCGACAATCTCTAACTGACAATGCAACACAAGCGATGAACACCTTCAGTGCTAAACATTAAGCCGAAGGGTAAAAAAAAGGCAAGTGGCAACATTACAAAATGACAAAATGGACATGTTCAGCTCAAAACAGTCATCCAGGCAAGCTGATCTAATTCACATCACCATGTCTTCATCTGGGGAGCATAGAACAAGGTTCTGAGAATACAACAATCAATAAAATATGATGGAATTAACATGTTCTACAATCAGCCAAAAGTTGCATGTTCAAAGCAGTCCTCATTACATAAATAAATCTAATAGTTTCAGCAATGGCGAACAAAACTGTCAAAACTGGTATTTAATCTAACATTTCTTCGGTATGTAATCTATCAATCTTTGTCTGCATCATTAATTTTTATATCAGTAAACCAATTAGTCTTATAAAACTAGAACTAGATAGGCAATTGATTGAATAAATTCCTCGGTTAAAAGAGAAAAAAATTAACTTTAAGAGGAGACTGCGGAAAATACACAAAAGGGGAGATCATCCTAAAAAAATATTATACACAGCCTATGTTAAAAAAAATAATTAATTATACACAGCCTATGTTAAAAAAAAAAATTAATTAAAGTCTTTACAAAATGATCTGGAAAAACTGCAACTACACTAGGAAATGAATGCTGCTTTTAATGAGCCAGTTTCCACTGCTGTACAGTATGGGAAAGTTATTTATTTCTCCAATAGTTGTGACTTTCAGGTTTTCATTTGTTACCCATCTACTTCATCAAATTAATGAATTAAAAAGTTATCAACTCCTCTCGTGACTTATAAAATAAAATATTACGATAGACATAAAAATGAACTTTCAACGTGTCTTTCTTTGATCCACATCACTTCATGGGCAGAATTCAAAAGTATTTTCAAAGTTTCCTGGGATGTGTACAAGTTTCAACTCCATTGCACCCTCCATGTCGTCATATTTGCTTAAAAAATTTACACACACGCACTATTTCAGGGTCAACTTCAAATATTCAAAAACTCAAAGAACTGCATTTTGGCTTAATGACCTTGCTTTCAGTCAACTCCTGAACTGACATTCTTCCTAGATCTCAGAAAAATGCATAACATGAGTGTTGCATGTTTGGCGACTGAAACTCTGCACAACACTGCTCTTGGTGCGATTGATAGACTCCGTGCAGTGGCGTTCTAGGTGCTAACTAGGTACCAGGTGACACTGATTTGTCCTGTGTCTCCTGTAATTTCCTACACATGACACTTTTAATCATTCGTTTCAAAACACTGATTTCAAGACGTCCTTCATTTGAAAACTTCAAAGCCCTTATATATGGGGCATAAGTCACTTTGGGATGTGGTAATGTTAAGATGATAATCTTTCAAAATATCAAAAATATTCATAAACAATTTGACATGTATCTCATTTTAGTTATTTCCAAGAAAAAAACCCAACTCACTCATCAGTGTCAATAGACACACAGTTGTATGCAGCATACCGCAGTCTTTCCTCTGCAATTTTTTCACTGAAAGAAAGTTAAAAACCAGTATGAAATTCTGTCACCATATAGCTACAACTCTACCCTTCAGTGCGCTAAAATTTCCCAACTTAAATTTGTACAAAAATATGAAGTAGTCTCTGCTTAAGATCCCACCGTATATGATCCCGATTATATTTTACTTCACAAAAGTCGCCTGTAAGATCCCACTCTGAGCATGGGTCACTGTGGATTCTTCCTTCAGTGTGTCGACTAAGAACCCTTTCGTCTTAGATCCCACATTTTCCTTGCTCCTGAGCACTGGGATCTTCAGTGGAGTCTACAGTTCAATAAATTCCATATATGAGCCTTTGCCAATAGGTGAGGGTTTTATCATATATACCTTTACAAAATCCTTTCCTATTCCAATAAAAATGCTGCTACAGCTTTGAAATTTGTATATATTGTGCTTAATATGATGTTTCAGCTATGGGAGCAGAGAAATAGCAGTCAGGCCATGAGAAGAAATCTTACAAATATATTTTTAGTTCTGAAATTGATGTATTTTTAGAATGCAAAACGTGACACGTCAAGTTCGTACTTTTTCTGCCATCAACTTCAACAATGAAATAATTACCTTCTACATTTTTATTACTATATCTACATTATTTGTGGTGCTACATCAGGAATAATGATATCTGCAGCTGTTTTTTCTTTGGGAGCCTTCAAAGTTTTCATTTTCGAGCATAACCCATGTTGTCATTTCACAAAGCAACTTCGATTCCATGTGACTCCGTTTCTATCGGCCATTTTGGGACCCTGGAACGAGCATAATATCCTTCAATATTTACTCTCTAGTTTAGTTTAATATGGGGTTTTACGGCGCTCGCAACTGCATAATGTCATATGAGCGCGTGAAACACAAGTTAGTTTTATTCGCAGTTCACTGTACGGCTGGGTACGGGTCATTTGATCTTAAAACGTTAAAATATTTATGTATGTATAGTATAAGGTTTTACGGCGCTCGCAACTGCTAAGGTCATATGACCGCGCGAAACACAAGTTGTTCACCTTTGCAAAAGTTCACTTCACGACCAGTTAACTAATTTACTTGAAAATGCTAAAAAGTTAGAATATTTAAATTCGGTGTA